AGCCGGATGTCGCGACGGCGCCACAAATGTCTCAAGTTAGCAAATGCCAATCGAGTCTTTTGTATGCGCGCCAACACTTCACCTGTGATGCGTCCGCCGGGTGAGATATAGCTGCCTGGATAGCAAAATTTCTCTACTTCCTCTACTACTTCCCCAGTTAGGGTGAGACTGGGTGCTGGATCAACCCAATCTTGTAGTAGCATTTTACACTTTGAAGGTGCAAAACGCATACCGAAAATCGCTACACTAGCACTCAAACTATCCAGAAAAGCTTGCAACTTACCTGGATCGTCACTTAGTAGCACAATGCCGTCTGCATACTCTAGATCGGACAGTCTGCCACCAGGAAGTAAAGGAACCGGTCAGCAATTCATATATACCCGTATTTCACAAGAGTTCGAACCACATTGTCTCAAACTACGCAGCCCTTCCCTGGCGCCATCTCTAATACCAAACTATGACATGCTACAATTAGCTAATCTTTGATGACATTTTTAACGCGCTATCGTGAAAGAGAACTAACTTTAATATAAATAAAAGCTTAGATTTTGCAAAAAAAAACTTTCTGCCGAGTAGGGGAAAAACTACACCTTAAAGGTGTACTAATATCAAGGTTGCTGCGTGACGGACGACAGATAAACCGCGAGATGAATTCTTGATATCAAAAGAATTTACGCGCTCGGTGTCTCTTATAGGTCTCAAATGTATTTTATCATTCATTTTGTTGAGAGGCTATTCTTCAGTTGCCGAGATCACCAGCAGGTAACTTTTGATAAATTTCAATTATTATTATTTGGAATAAAATTAACGAAAGGTAATCTTGGCCATCTATCATGCTCCTTGAGCTGAGAGGATTGTAAATTGGATCTTGTGATTTAATCTTCGTCGTACGTCGGCCGAGTTCAGCGTACGTATCAATGAAGCACGTAAAACCGGAAGCGGCAGTAACAGGTCAAACATGGTTTGCATTTGGTTACGATATGCACTCCACGGCAATGTGTGTTACGATGCAGCTCTCACAGATCTGTATTTTAAAATGCAGCTGGTCCGTTCCGTTAAATCTTGTAGTAAACATTTTCGTGTTATTGAGTGTGTTTCTATAACTGAAACATGTAAAAAGAGATCAAACGGAGTATGTTTTCCTTCTGGGGGGTGGGTGGGTTGGTTGGACATTACGGGTGTTTCAGTGTGAACTTAGATTATTCCTTCATTGATAGTTCACTATTCAATAAAATGTGGATGCGTTCCTTGATGATCTCGCTTGAATTAGACTAGCATAAATCTTTCTGGCAACTTTCACTTGTGTGAAATGTGCACCAAGGTGAAAAATGAGGTCTGCGGAAAAAACCAAGCAATTGTATGCTTGATCTAAACAGGTAAGCATCACAGTGGTCAGGTGGTTGGCACGGTTTCAAAAAGGTTTTTCATCTTTACCGGCACTGTACTCAAGTGCTTAGGCTCCTTATAAACTGCGGTGACAGTGACATGCATTTTGCATATCACCGGACAGACTTCTCCTGGGTGGTTAGCACCTGCTTATGCAAGAATCAAATTAGTCAACGAAGGGTTGGAGATGCTGAGTGATGCGACTGCGTATCACAATGGTGCTCGTGTAACTATTTGCGTTCTAAACACATTTAGTTCACTCGTATTCTGCCTATGCCACATTCTAGCTAAATAACCTAACTTCAGGATGGGATGCTTTGAGTTGAATTCGTGAATAAGAATGACAGCGTGCTAGTGTGCAAATTTGCGAGCAGTGAAAACATTCGGAAACCGGAGATTCTGGGATTGCAGTCAGATGAAACTAACTTGGAAGATCCTATGGCGAAGCGTTCGAATGATTTCGAATTGGCCGGATCTGCTTTCAAGCAACGTTGACATACGAGGAGCGCATGCTCGACTCGGGCGATCAAATCCGCCTGAAATGAACAATGCGAGAAGAAACACCACTTTCAAACCGGTGAAAGTTGAGCGTGTGTGAACAAGTGAACGGGGATCTAATTCTACTCCAGACAACTATTCGCAGCAAAAACCCAACTCCGGCTAACTATAGTGGTTACATTTTATCTTTTAAATGCTAGCATTCTCTAGACATACGGAAAGTACGTCAAAAAATTCTTCCACTACCAGTGACAGGGACTATCTGTCTATGACGGAACATCACAGAAAGTAACTATAAATAGACAGAATATCGGAACAAGATCGCTGAAATCTCTTTTAATTTTAGCGAAGTGATGTGCACGGCTCTTTTGATTCTTTGATCAAAACCAAATGAGAGCCATTGTATTTTCTACATTGACACCAAGCGAAATGCTTATACGCTGAAAGATTCGCCTGGTTGTATGCATCAAGTGATATCGGCAAAAGGATATACTTGATCACGAACGCGCTGTTATATTGTATGTGTGCATGATGAAAGGATCAACTACCCCGGGAGCACCGATCTACTACCTCATAGAAAAGGGTGCTCGTCCTCTCTAGATTGCTTAACCTAAGTCAAATGTCGGGCGTGGATGAAAACAGACTTATTAGCGTTACGATTATAAATGAGGCAGACAATAGCTGGTTGATAAATGGACGTGATGAGTGAACTGAACCATGGAGGTTGGGTTAAATTATAGACCGCCAAGCTAAATCTACCAGGACGTGATGGCAGCTTATGACCGATCAAATCACATGATTTGATCAATCTATGCGAAACAGTGCTCCCGCATCGAACATCTACGCGTCTCAACCTTTTTATTTAGGTTATATGAGTGCGCTTTAGTTCGTGGTCGTGAGAACTAATGGCTCGACCATCGGCGTACCGAAGGTACACAGATTGTCGCTGGTACCAACAAGAAACGTGGGCTATCGGTTCGTTCATCAGTAGAGTTGTCTTTTCTAAAAAACAGTAACCAAGACAATAAAGCTTGGGTTTTCGCCGTAATCTGAACTGAATCGGTAACGATGCGATGTAGTACAATTCTGCTAGCAGACTTAGAAGACACGTGACCTGGTGACATCAAAAAGCAATAGCATATGCCCAGGTGACCCGCTACTAATAAGACAGTCGGAGTCCCCCCACCCCCCGGTCCCGCTGTTCTTTCCGAAAGGTATTTCTAAGGAGGCGAATAAATCCAACTGGACACCGGTTTGTCTGGAACAAACCAGCTGCATGGCCGGTTGTATTTGGCTATGCCATGGCTAAAGATGCCACCGCGAAAAAAGGCCTAGTGTGTACCGGGAGAGTCCCTCGTTGCGTCATACCGAAGAATTTCCATGCATTATTTTGAACCATGCAGCCGACCCATCCTCTAGTAGGAGATAATCGTGTATGCATGTAGTCTAACGAAAATTTAAGATTTCATGGACGCCCCCCAAAAACATAAGCAACAGGAAAATGAATGATAACATCAGAACCGGAAGAGTGAGTGATGAATACGAATAGGATATATTTTTTCATAGGTAAAAAAGAAACAATGTACAGGAGTGAAAGTTGCAGTGCGAGATGCTGCCGAATTTTGCAAATAGGTAACCAAGAAGTAGATTCGGGAAAGAGTTAGTGAACAAAGATAGACAAGGGGTTGGAGTGATTGGAACAAAGGAGAAATGCGTTCTGATGCCAATAGGGTCATTGCGATCGAGTCCGGATTTGCTCATTGTTCACCAGTGTCGATGTACTGTGAAATATCAAAACTTAGAACCCGACTGACGAGGCAATTGTTTTCCTGAAACATCCAACGGATAAAAAAGGATAAAACGAAAGTTGAGGAATTAAAAATAGACTGAAGGTCCCAAGGAATCATGAAATGAATCAAAGCCCAACATCTATCGCACGCATTGCATGCCTCGGCCCTATAGATGTATAGAGTAGTAGTCAGAGTACTGGAATAAATGTATGCAGAAAAACACAAAAGAGAAAACCTCGCAAAGAAGAAACAGACTAACTCCGTTTTTAGTAGGGCCTAAAAACACGATGATAATCATAGAAACCATGTGCATTGAAAACGAATCTATTTGTGGAACCTAGTGCTGATAACACGCAGTGGCGAACAAGCTCGTTTGTGGTGATTCATCTACCAGTTAATACAGCACAATTTGTCAAAAAGTACAGTAAATAGATGCAAAACACATTTGGATGAGGCCGGACTGACGAGCACACAACTTGCTTCGTTTTGTAGGACCTATATAAGTAGGGGCTCATGTATGATTTGCTGATTGCATATGCACTTAGCCCAAATTCTATCGTGGCGATGATATTGGAAGAGCATGTTCCAAAGTTCTGTCGCTGCACATATTTCACCCGTGACAAGTGATGGGATCTACGTGAAACTAATGACTATTTAGAGGGATGTAGAGGCATCTGCCATATGCAATAGTGAAAGAAATTACTTGCCACTTTGTCAAACTGTAACTCTGAGATGCTAACATAATTCGTATATGTTAGGAAATTCTCAGAAAGAGAGATTGCTCCCGGTTTATCTTACATATTTACCACGGCAAGTAGATCCAAATAGATAAATGCAGGGTAATCGGGCCCACCGAAATTTGACTCCACAACCAGGAGTTCGGTTTTGCAGAAAACGACATTCGAAGTTTGGTCATTTATTTGTCGCTTCTTTTGATTATCCGTGAAGCAAATAGTGAGAAAGATTTTATTTTAGAACTTTGCTCAGAGAAGTCGGAATTCGTAACCAATGGGGTGCGTAGAGAGATGTGATGCAAACAAGAGACTGTATGCTTTTCATCTGAATGGAAGGTTAAGCAACCTAAGACAGGAAAAGCATTTAGCTTATTACCAAACCGAAAGAATCCAGAGTCAGGTCAAGAGCACAGAAGAGGAATCCGAACTGCAATCAGAGGATGAAGTAAATCGTACAAAGCAATTATCCATGAGGAAAACTAGAAAAAAACTTACAATGTCTGGATAGATCCCGATCAAACTGTCTGCACGACTGTAGAACTCTTCTTTTAGGGAAATCACAATAATCTGAGCCCGAGCCGAAGCGTACTCACGAATGAAACTTGCCACCTGAAAAGATAAACATGTGCAATGTCTTGTGACGCCATGAACGGCAGCCGAAAACTTGGGATCAATAACAGTGCCTTTGTACACTGCCCACGTTTGATCAGATTCAAACCCACGCAGCATAAACTATTCACACATCATGCGTTCGAACAAACAGCAAGGAAACAAGACACACTCTATCTTTTCAATGTAAGCATTGGCAACGAATAAAGTTCCTGAATTACCGGAAATATGCCTCGAACAACAAACAGATGTTGCAGGATGTGAACAGATAGGGATATTCACGGTAAGCAATATCCACATGGCTAAGAAGAGTAAAGTCGTGTGCTACGCGTGTCTCCAGGTTGCGAATAGAGAAACGGTAAGAGATTTGCGGCCAACCGTGAATAAGGTGGGCCAAGATTCCCTGATTAATCGATCGCGGATGATAAGCGGGAGTGCTCAATAATGTGATGGGTTTGTCTCTTGACAAAGGTGCTCCGCACAAGACACCACATACAGCTGTGAACAGAGCTGTGGTGTGTCGCACGTGGTTTGCCACTAAATTTGGCCATTGCTCTTGTCCAGTTCCTTTCACCCGACAACGATCTCCAGAAGAGGCGAATCAACCACACAATGGGCCATCGGTTTATCTGGAACAAGGCTGCTACGGGGGATTCTCAAACAAGTACCAATCCGAGGCCGATCAATAGAAAATTAACACATCAGCTGATATTCAATACGTGCTGTGCATATCTGCAAATGGATTGTCACAGTGCACGTTGTTTGTTGTGGGACGTGTTGAGAGGGGAAAAAATAGAGGCTGGTTGCTTTCAGCAACACATGGGTGTAAGCAATGAACGGAATTGTGATAAGTTGTTCTCCGGGGATTAGTCTTATCCGAATTGAACTCCAACAATCACGGATCGTTCAGGATAGGAAGCACGTGCTGAACAGATCACTAAGTAGATAATTAATCACATACATCTCACGGGTTGGAGGTGTATGGGGGATGTATTAACAAATTGGGACAATCCGCTTTATTGCTCCCGAGTTCTCGAAAGAGATGGAGAACCGTATCCGGAGAAACAGCATCAGTTTTACGATAATTCGGACAATTGTCCCTCTGTTTTCGTCTGTCTATTGAGCGAAGCGCTTGGAACGAAAGTCAACTTTTTCAAGTATGAAGTTAACAGTTATGATTCATGAAGCGGAATTATACTGGGAATCCCGTCGCACTCTGCTGCATTTGTAATCCGTGTAACGAAATAGGCTCGATTATTAAGACTTATCAACGGAGGACAGACTGGATTTATGAGTAGCGATCAGTGAAATTCGCTTTACTGTATTACGCTGTACAATGATGATGATGATATGAGCATATACAAAATTTATGAGGATGCGGGTATTATTGCCGGTATACGCGTGAATTTTTTCCCTATTTTATCGCACAGCGTGTTAAAAGTGAAAGGCACAAGTTCTCTCATTCAAATTAGCTCGACAGTACAGTTTGTGTTGCAAACATCTGGATGTACTTCAGCACGTACCTTTCCAATGTTGGTATTGTCTAGTGCGGCATCAATCTCATCGAGGACGAAAAACGGTGACGGATTATACCGATGCATGGCGAATAGAAGTGCCAGGGCGGCAATTGTTTTCTCCCCACCAGAAAGACTGTCCATTTGTTGGAAACGTTTCCCGGGGGCGACACATTGAAATTGAATTTCCTCCAAATACGGCTCCTCAGCGTTGGTTGGCAATAAACTAGCCTAGAAGCGAAGTGGAAATCAGTGAGGTAACTAATCGTGACTCGTAATTCGGAAAAACAGTGCTGCTTTCAAAGATCCAGTCAGCATAAATCAATGACAAAATTCGATGAGTTAGTTGTTCTACATACGTGAGGCCGAACCCAGGTCAAATTGCAGAACAATCTCGAAGGTATAGGTATTTAGCGACAAAAAATTCATTTAACGCGAACTGCGCCTAATACAATCAACAATTATGAATAGTTTACAATTTCATGTTACAAGCGCAAAGCAAAATCGTATGCTAGTAGACCATGATCGAAGCAGCCCAAAGTGTATGGCGCTCAACAGGGAGACTGACAGAACCACTCGTGTGAACATTGGCAAGCTGTTTGAAATAACGGTGAGTTATGCAAATTGAGGTAAGTCAACTCTCCGAGATAACGCAAGCCAAGCGGCTACGCATTCCAGTTTATGGACCTTGGACTACAGGCCAACTGTATCAATCAATAAATGGCCATACAGTTGAAACAAGAGTCGTGTGACTAGGAGAACGAGAACGGCGAGCGGTTAATGCCCGGTGTACCGATAATATTTATATTTCAATATTCCAATATTATTTAATCCCATAGATTTCTTTCAACAAATGAACAGCTACTTCTGTAGCCTCTTTCCTGCTTCTCGGTGACGGGAGAGTTCAACGTACAGTTGCCAGTGCGATCCAGTGCTTCACCTGCCATTGAAATTGGGATCTGTGGTCCGTGTCTATCCGGACCACTACACAAACGCAGTTGAACGTGCATTGATCGAGGGTACGAGCATTTGAGTTCTATCAAACTGCAATGATGAAATCATTATGGTTAATCGCGTTTGATGACAAGTAGAGACCAATAACTGAAACTACCTTGACTTCGATCATTCGTACAAGCTGGAATATGATGGGTATAAATCCTTAGCATAATCAGAATCCAGTATAAATTCAACGTCGCTCAAAATCTGTCAAGTTTGTTCATGATTTGGTTTCTTATGACCAGAAACAGATAGATCGTTTGATATTATATATATATATATATATATATACTTCGCATAATAATTCAGCGAACATAGAAGAAACACTCGTAATTGTTATCATTAAACTTGGCTATTAACTTAATAAAAGGAGTGCGTTCCATGCTTTGATTGAAAAAGTAAAAAAGTGAAAATTAAAAATGTGCACATCGATAGCAAATGAGCATACTTGTGCACCGGGATTTCGTGATAGGCTCTTGTAGATCGGATCAATATTGTCGGTGATCGAGTTGAAACAGCTCATAAAGGCATTGTAACGTAAACGTCGAACTCGTTCGAAGCGCGCCTTGGCACGTTTGGCTCGGCGACGTGTGTCCTCAAATTCGGCCTCGGTCGAACGTAGTCGTTCCTCCACACTGCCCAGTTTATCTCCCGCGCGGAGATTTGGTGCCTGAATACGAGCCAGACTGTTCAACATGGCGTCTATTTGATTTTGCATTTCTTCCGCTCTGCGCGTGCGTGTATATGTATGGTAGTTTCGGAGGACGGAACGAAAACAGAGATAAAGTTCCGCAAAACAATCATATCAGTTCCAGGAGTAAAGTTGTAGTATACGATAATTAATCAATCACCAGTTAACGATCACATACGCACAAAATAAAATGCATCATTACCGTATTTCCTCTGAAATCAGTAGCTATCACAAAGCCAAAGTGAGGACTTAGGTATCATTGGTCAAAAGGATTTAAGTTGTTCAATGAATTGCATTAGGGGCATCGTCCGCTGAAGAATGACGGCTTGCTTAAGAGCGAATTTGGTCGAATCGAATCAGTATTGTTCCACATTTGTTATCAGTGTACATTCGACCGTACACAGAATACGCCGTCCAAACTAGGAGTTCATGGTTGAAACGTGATGGCAAGATGCTGCAGCGTTCCCAAGGGATTGCACTGCCTCACCTACGAGGAGAGATTGTGACTATATTGGTACTATATTCTGCTCAGTACCGGTGAAATCATGGACTTCGGTGTATCAACTGTTGCAGAACCGAAACCATACATGTAGTCCGCCCCTCACATAAACCATTAGGGGACATCGTTTCAAGTTTCAAGTGTCGAATGGAACGCCGGTATCAATCTTTTGCAGTCAGAAAGCGTGACACTTGGAACGCTGTTCCACCTCATGTCGTTTGTATGCCAACTGTTGAACCCGGCAGCATTCCGCCCACATGCAAAACATGGGATTTTTTTTCTTTCATAAAGATTATACAACCTTGTTGAGATAATGCCACAGAGCACATTTCAAACAAAACAACAGAGTCGCGAACAAGCTCGTTTTCAGAGATTCATATTCATGCCAATACATCTCAATATATATCACTACCTGGGAATAAAATTGTCATGGGAAAATAAAATAAAAACACAGATTACTAGAAACGATTTCATCGTGAGACCGGAAATCGGGTCCATCACGATCACGTTTGTTTGTCCACTCATCCACTCAACCTAATTTACCTAATACGCATGCGGACACATTTTCTAAAGTGAAAATGTGGTGGCGAAAAAGGTTTTTGGTCATTCATAATCATAACAACACATTACAATAGAGACCACAATTCATTGAATAAGGTTCGTGTATGCCACCTATGACCACGCATGGGAAATTTACAACAGTCAGAGCTCGCCGTTTCGCCGACCTCAAAGACGGAGTCGTGTGGATGAGGTCTCACCTCGTTCGTTGTGGCAAGGATAAGACCAGGGATTTGTCTATCACAAGCTCTGTACAGAAGACGGGGTAGAACAACCCGGTCAAAAGTGATTTGATTAAACCAGTTGAGGTCACAGAAATTTAAAAAAAAACGGACCATTGACTACGGTCAGGCATGCGACCATATCAGAAAATGTCCATATTTTCAAACCCACTCCTCTGTATGTGTAAACATTTTACACTCATTTACTATGAACTTCTTTGATCCGGATTCTAATGTCTTTTGTCAAGTGATCAGGTCAACGAATATAGCAGCCAGGAGTGTCATTGAAATACAGGATAAAGACAGTGAGTTCAGTTTAGTTCTTACAACCATTAACCATGAACTTTCGTGCGCCGGTTTTGGTTGCTGTCCTTTGGTTGCCCATTTGGATAAAATAGCAGAATGAAGATTAGAATATTGAGAACAGATTTAAACGAAAGGTAGCACACTTTCATAGACTGAAGTTACAAGAATAATGAGTAGATGCATGAGCGCCACTGTTTGCGACACCCAGCCATATCGCTCAGTGTCTCTAACCACCGGCGACCGTGATCTCTGGGTCCCCATCCAGGGAGCCCAACGGAACCTATGTGAGCCAGTCTCCTGGTCAAAGACAGTGAGTAAACAAACGGGTGTGGATAGGCAGTGGATAGATGCATAAGCGTTAGTTCTTACGGCATTCACAGCATCACATGATGGCTGTAAACATGGAATGAGAACTAAAATGAAAATCCAAACACTATTCAAGTTCATTGGTCAAAGTTTTGATATATTCACGCCAAGTCGCGGTCTAAAAAACGGTGTCTTTCAGTCAATAAGTGAACAGTCTGACACCAGAACAAAGAAGCCATCACGACGAGACTGCACCTTGACGTGGTGTGATGGCTTGCGCGCCTCAGTGACC